AATCAAAATTAAAAGAAAACAAAAAGGACAGCAAAAAAAAAAAAAAAGGATTAAGGTTTAGAGAACATTTTGTTTAATTTTTATTTTTTTCTTCTTAATATATTTATGAATGGAATAAACAAATAATGATATATATATAGTTATATCTATATTATATATACATATTTAAGTATATGAGAAACATTGAAAACATTATGGAATCACTATGATTAACACATATATTATGTGAAGGCTTTTGCGAAGTATGTAACAACAACGGTAATAAAAGAGAAAAAGAAGAATTTGTTTTCCTCGGCATTAGTAATGCTCCTTTTTTGCAAAGAAAAAAAAAAAGAAAATTTTGTTTTGATTCTTGCAAAAAAATATTAACTCTTTTTAAAATTTAATTGTTGACAATTTTGTCTTTCTTTTTTTGGGAGGTTTTTTTTATCCTATTCAAATAAATCAAGAAGCAACAGGAAAAGTGGAACGGAAAATAGTTACCGTTTTCAGATGGATTATCTTATAATTTCAGTTCTCTCTGTGTTCCTTTTTTTCTTGTTTGTTTGTTTCTTTTTTTTTTTCTGGCCGCTGCTTTTCATCGGGTTTTATAATTTCTAGTTTTCTTTTTTTTTTTCTTTTCAGTTGCTGTCAAGAAAAGTACTATGGGTAGATGGAAATAAGTAAAAGTTTCATAGCATCAGTTAGTAATAAATTCTTATTTTTTTTCAAAGATAACAATTTAAAAAAGAAATAAAAGAGAGAGTGAAATTTGATTACTTTTATTTCCTTTTTTTTTGAATGCAAATGGTAGTGTACAATTTTAAGTTCATTGGCGTTGAAACCCACTATTGAAAAACATACGTAAAGATATTGACAAATTCAACAAACATTTTGAGCTTGACAGTTTTAAAACGGCAAAAAAAAAAATTTTTTTTATGCTAAATTTAGCGAAACGTTGTCGTTTGCTGCTAAGTGACAGCAACAGCTGTATATTTATGTTTTTCTTCGGCTTATTCTTAGATAACGGATACTTCAGGAATAGGGAGTAACAAATTTGGAGAGAATTAGTGTAGGAGGAGAAGGAGAAGAAGAAGAAGGATTTGGGACGGCAATGAGTAGTGATGGAGATAATGAAATTGGTAATACATTTGTAAAGAAGGAAAAGAAGACGATAACTAAAACGTTTGTAATGAAAGATTTTAAGATATCTGATTAATTGTTGTGCATACTGGGAGAAAAGTTGACCGAAATAACGTCTATTAGCGAAGAGTAAGCTGAGCCGTAAATGGGATATATTTTTTTGTAGGATTGTGAAGGGTGAAAAGAAAAAAGGAGAGTAAGGAAAAACGGAAGAAGTTTTTGTATTCATTAATTAGTTGTCATTTCTTACATCTCTTTCATTTCTCATTATTGATAAGTATTTGGTGTTTTCAGCAGTCGCTAAACTTGTTGAAAATGTAGAAGAAATAAAGAATAATTTTTTTAACCTTTTTTTTTAATCTTTTCGCGGGCAAGAAAC